ATATAAAATGTTCATTTTGGCATATGAGGCGCATTCATGAAGAAAGAAGATCTTTAATCTCATGCAAAAATAGAAAAAAAAACTTTTATTCATTTCAAATGGTTTCATACTAGAAAACATCGTCACACTGTGTCCCTCACCTCAGGGTTCACTTAGTACTTGCTGAGGCAAACGAAAACGATTACGTTTTGAGACAGTTACTCATAAATAGATTTTGCTGGAATAAGCCAAATTTGGACGATAGCTCCATAGAAAAGACGTTAACTGAGAAAGAGACTGGCTAAAAATATCGTGCGAGACATTGCTTACTCTGCAACCAACACTGACATTCTCGTAGCTATCATTTTCTTAAAATGATTGACAGTAGTCAAGACACTTTTGCGTTTGGAAAATATCTGATGTTCAATGCCAGACATTTCGATAGTAACTAATTTGAAGCCAGTTTTAGAGTGGACCAAATTCCCCGTATAAAAGGGTCACGTTCGTTATTGTAGGAGAGGCCAAGGTCGGAACAATCAATCTTCATCTTTAAAAAGCATATAAAATATATGTTCTGGTCTCGATTATGTTCATAAACTTTTTGTAAATGGTTTGCGTGACGATTAAGATGGCGTTACGGGCAAATTTCTTTGATATAAATAGTCATAGTGTGCCAGGGATTTGATTTCCTCACACATAAATACTTTTAATTAAAATCGTTTTTTAACTTATTTTCTATTCGATTAATACAATTTATTTCTTCTCAATATGAAAATGGAATCCTTAAACATGCTGAATCACGACCAAGGTTTACTTTTATTTCGTGATTTAGAACTTTAGAGAAGAGACTATAACATTTGAAATACTTGATGATAGCACGGCGTTTCAGTCTGTATATTCTCAAGTCATCGTCAGACATGGTGTCTGTGAGATAAGTCAAAAATCCTTTTTCTATAGAAAAATACCTGACGAAAAAAATGTTTTTATTAATATGTCAAACGGATCAAGGCGCTTCAGCAGCTATAGATACACAGAAGTTATCTTATTGCCATCCATACATCACCCCCCACAATTTCACTATACACATGACAATTCAGTGAGGCCTCTGTTAATCAAAGCAAAGCTTATGCTGTTAAAACATATAAAATTCCGATTAACCCACCAAACAACAGACAAACTGATATATCCATACTCTTTAAACACAAAATATTGCTTCATCCGTGATTGCATCAGATTTGCATCGCGCTTAGACACTATTATCTCGACTGTCGATTAGTTGTCCTACGACCATATCTGCGATAGACGTTACTCTAAGGAAGCGTAAGAAAATTGTAACGCTGTACGAACACACTGGCAAAACTTACCAGTGAGTAAATCCAAGTACTATAAACTGGCGCGAAATCTCTCTTGCTTTAAATCCAATCGCGAATCTGTGGTCAATCTGCAAGGAGCGATTTCATAGAATGGACATACCAAGTACTAACATGTACATTGGATCATCTTTAATTGGAAAAAAGGGTGTCAACTTCCATTTGAATAATGTTTTGTTATATTTGAATTTGATTTTAAGCGAGCGAATGTTGAAAGGATTTAGAAGAAATTTTCGTGTATTTTCATTTAATTTAATCGGAGTTTTGAATATTAAAAAAAAATCAAAGCTCAAAATAGATATAGGTAGCAAATTATTCTCTCCTCTATTAAAATTACGTATGCGACATGCTTATTTTTTCCCAGCTGTGAATTATCGGAAATTTCTTTGGAAACGCAATTTCCTTCTTTTCGATTAATTAAGATCTATCTGTTTTTTTTTAATGCCAAAACGAATATCATAATTAAAATAACGTGGAGCAATCTAGCTGATCACACAGTGCAAAACTACAAATTGCTATTATATGCGGTAACGACGTTGACTGGTGAACAACTTTTTAATAAATCACATTGTTCTTTTAATATTTGAAAATCTCTTCCCATGACCACAAACAGATCATGTGAAGAGAGCTGTTGGCTGCAGTGAAAATAGCTGCGGATAAAATATATTCTGCAGTGAGAATCGCACCAGACACATGCCAACTGAAAATGAATTAGAAGTGCAAAACTATGTGCATAATCAGCAAAGAAAGATTAGCAAATATAGAAACTAACATCGAGCTTAGTTTAGTATTGTCATCTTTTTAATATTCCCAAATTTTGCTCACGTAGTTAAATACGAAATAGTAGAAAAAAAATGAAGAAAATTGAGAAGACGACGAAGAATGAAACTGTTATCACAATTGCCAGAAAAGAATGTTAATGATGGACAAATGTTTGGTTTGGTTTGTTTTACGGCATATCAACCTAAATAGGTTATTTAATGCCGACAAGATTTTTACTTTTGTTTTTGGTTTGTTTTGTTTTACGGCATATCAGTCTCAGTGGATTATTTAATGCTGACAAGAAAATTTTTTTTTTTTTTGGCTTGTTTTACGGCATATCAACTTCAATAGGTTATTTAATGCCGACAAGATTTTAGGTTTTGTTTGGTTTGATTTGTTTTACGGCATATCAACCTCAATAGGTTATTTAATGCCGACAAGATTTTTAGTTTTGTTTTTTTTTTTTTTTTGTTTTACGGCATATCAATTTCAGTGGATTATTTAATGCTGACAAGAAAATTGTTTTTTTTTTTTTTGGCTTGTTTTACGGCATATCAACCTCAATAGGTTATTTAATGCCGACAAGATTTTTAGTTTTGTTTTTTTTTTTTTTTGTTTTACAGCATATCAATCTCAGTGGATTATTTAATGCTGACAAGAAAATTGTTGTTTTTTTTTGGCTTGTTTTACGGCATATCAACTTCAATAGGTTATTTAATGCCGACAAGATTTTAGGTTTTGTTTTGTTTGGTTTGATTTGTTTTACGGCATATCAACCTCAATAGGTTATTTAATGCCGACAAGATTTTTAGTTTTGTTTTTGGTTTGTTTTGTTTTACGGCATATCAACCTCAATAGGTTATTTAATGCCGACAAGATTTTTATTGCTGTCAATATTTCTTTCAAAAATAAATACCTAGTAATTTTTTTTTCAAAAATGTGTAGCTGGTAATTTTCGTTTTCAAAAATGTATTGCTGGTAATAATGTATTGCTGGTAATAATTCTTCTTCAAAGATTTATTACTGGTAATAATTTTTTACCGATTATTTCTGCTATTAAAAGCTATTTTTACACTTTCCTAGTGTTTTGACCCGAGTTTGAGGAGTAACTATTTACCCATAGCTGGAACCCTAACAGGTGCTACCACCCTGGATCAGGGTTGAGCTGGGAACAGCAGCAATTAAGAAGTGGTTCCACGCTCCTCAAAACCTCCTAATCAGAGGCCTTGCTGTTGGACGTAGTTTATCGTCTTACCCTGGACGCGGATGTAGTTTATCGATGAATGAATGCAGGAGAAGAAAAAAAATCGAAAGAAATATTAATAAACGATGCAAAGAAATCCAGAAATTTTACAGACAAGTCCTGATGACTGAACAAACAGCATCTACATATGATTGCAAAACTTTGCTGGCATCTTTCCTTGTAAATTCTCTGTCAATCATTTCTGGAATTGTATTTTATGGCAGATTTTTGTCTACGACGGTAATTTAGTAACGATGCGTGTACTGCCTCATTTTCTTTGCCAAGAAGCTCCAAATCAATTATTGGAAGTACGGTCAGTCTATCAGCGTGTTTCAGAAGTGGCGTGGGAAGAAAGCGTCCAGATTCTCAAAATCTGCGGCTAATATCACTCGTTTGCTTTCGTTGGCAAATGTCTATCGATTTTCCTTGTACGAGGAATGCGGACGGGTTCCTGGCCAGTTCCACCTCAAAATATGACCAAATGATCGAACCATACATTTGTATTTTTTTTTAGAAATAGCCCCTCCCTTGCTCCGAAAATATTCATCAACCTTTCTATCTATCTATCAGTCTGTTTACATCTATCTATCTATCTATCTATCTATCTATCTATCTAGTGATGTACAAAGCGTGGCTTAGATGTCGTCCTGAGGATCAAAGTCACCGTAAATGGTCGAAACCATAGACGCAATGAGAAGCGAACACAAGGACTCGGTAAAGATCGAACCTAATACTCAGTCGTAAAAAGAGACAAGCTTGCGACCATTACACACCTTCTAGCTATCTATCTGTTTAGTGATTTATAAAGCGTAGCTTAGATGTGGTCCTTGGGTGGTAGCACCTTTTAGGGTCCCAGCTATGGGCAAATAGTTAACCCCCAAACTGAGGTAAAAAGCATTATGAAAGTGTACAAATAGTATTTAATACTAGAAATAATCCGTAAAAAATTATTACCAGAAATACATTTTTGAAGAAGGAAAGCTGTTACCATTAATATATTTTTGAAAAAAAAAATATTACCAGCAATACATTTTTTAAAATTATATTATTAGCTATACATTTTTGAGGAAAAATATTTCCTGAAATAGGTTTTTGACAAAAAAAATATCGGCTGTAAATGACCCATTGAGGTTGATATGCCGTAAAACAAAACAAAACAAACCAATCATACTTGTGTAAAAATAGGTTTTAATACCAGAAATACTTTGTAATAAAAATGGTTCTAATATATATGTATATATACACACTTTTTTTTTTTTTTTTACCAAATTATCGCTATGAATCTATTTCAAGATTTTGTTGGCATTAAATGAACCACGGAGGTTGATATGCTATGAAACAAAACAAACAGCAACCAACCAACTGCGCCCTCTCTGGATTTTTCATGATTACTGTCCATATTTGTCTAACATGTTTTTTTTCCTATCATTTTATCTTTTTTTCCCCCGCTTCTTTTAGTTTGAATTTTTTCTAGTTAATCTATTGGCTAAAACAAAAATGTAATATTATACTTTTATCTCTCTCGCATTTTCTTATCGATATTTACTTAGAATCATAATGAGAATCGAACTGGTTATAACAATAATAGCAGAGTATAATAACGAAATCGAGGTGGGCAAACCATTTTTCTTATAACTAATCTTACTATGTTTTTTTTGGTCTCTTATTTTTTTTTCGTTCACCACATCAATCCGAGGCTTTCTATTTCATTTAGCACCAACTATTTTCTCTCTCTCTTTTCTTTTCTTTTCTCTAGTTCTCTATTTATTTGCGTCTCTCTTTCTCTTCTTCGTTCGCACTCTTTCTTTTTTCATTACATCTTTATTATTGTCACCTTATTTCTCTTCGTCTCTTCTGTTCTCTCTTTCTCTTTCTCTTCGTCACACCGATTCTCTTTCTTTTTCTTTTGTCTTTTCTATTTTTTTCTTTTTTCCTTCCGTCTCTCTTATTATCTCTCTTTCTCTTCGTCTCTAATATTTTTTCTCTTTCTCTCAGGCTTTACTTGCCTCTATTTCTCTTTTTGGGCCTTTTTCTTTCTTTGTCTCTTTTATATCGGTACGAGCACATTTTCCAGTATAGTTACATTGTTTTTGTTTTTCTTTTAAGCTTATCACCCCCGAGCAAAGTAGGAGTGCCACTAGTACGGAAGGGGTTACATAGTATGGGAGCAAGAGCAAAGAAGAGTGATAGAGGAAAGGATGAAGAAAGGGACGGGAAATAGATCAGGACATCTGGAGATGTGGATTGATACTGAATTTGAATAGTTGGAGATAAATACTAATCAGAGAAGCAACTAAGAGGAAGGGAGTTTCACAGATGGGAAGTGTGACATGAAGCTATTGGAGTAGAAGAGACGGCTGCATTTAACCGTTTCCACCGTGAAATGGTGGAATTCTCTCTTTTTTTCTCTCCTTTCCTCCTAACAATTCTCTTCTCCCTCTCTTCTGGGTTTTCCTTCCATTGAGCACTCTTGTTATCTAACCATAACTTATTCTCTTTTTCCCTGTTGATTTCATTAATCACTTCATTTATTTTTTCTTTTTCATCTGTCATTATTCTATTTGACTCTTTTCTCTCCTTCTACAATTTATACTTTCCTCCTCATAATCTAATTTCCCACTTGCATTATTTACATTATTCGGACTCTTATCCTCATCTTCATTGCCAAATTCGAAACGTTTCGGCCGTTGTACGCTCCGGCCTTCTTCAGGAGATTCGAATTTCATACCGAACTCCTTATTTCGTCCACCGGGGTTATATTGTTCTAGTTTCACGTGCCATACCTCTTGTGGATGTTTCACTTATTTCATTCTAACTCAACAGTTCAGGTTTTGGTTCACCGCTGCTGTGGCCTGGTATTGAACTCACAACTCTTTGGGTCTAGCCGCTTTGATCTAACCAGCGATTTTATCCACTAAGGGAAATAACTGAGAGGTGCGGAATGGGCATAGAACGTAGAACTAGAACAATCTACCCCGTTAGACGAAATAAAGGGTTCGGTTCGAAATTCCAATCAACTAAAGAGGCCGAAACGTTATGAATATATCAATGAAGATGAGGATAACAGTCTAAATAAAGTAAATAATACAAGTAATTATAATACCTCATCTCAGTGATATAGAGGCTGAAACTTTGTGAATATGGCAATGAAGATGATGATAACAGTCCGAATAATGTAAATAATGCAAGTAATTATGATAGCTCATCTCAGTGATATAGAGGCTGAAACGTTGTGAATATGGCAATGAAGATGATGATAACAGTCCGAATAATGTAAATAATGCAAGTAATTATAATAGCTCATCTCAGTGATATAGAGGCTGAAACGTTGTGAATATGGCAATGAAGATGATGATAACAGTCCGAATAATGTAAATAATGCAAGTAATTATGATAGCTCATCTCAGTGATATAGAGGCTGAAACGTTGTGAATATGGCAATGAAGATGATGATAACAGTCCGAATAATGTAAATAATGCAAGTAATTATAATAGCTCATCTCAGTGATATAGAGGCTGAAACGTTGTGAATATGGCAATGAAGATGATGATAACAGTCCGAATAATGTAAATAATGCAAGTAATTATAATAGCTCATCTCAGTGATATAGAGGCTGAAACGTTGTGAATATGGCAATGAAGATGATGATAACAGTCCGAATAATGTAAATAATGCAAGTAATTATAATAGCTCATCTCAGTGATATAGAGGCTGAAACGTTGTGAATATGGCAATGAAGATGATGATAACAGTCGAATAATGTAAATAATGCAAGTAATTATAATAGCTCATCTCAGTGATATAGAGGCTGAAACGTTGTGAATATGGCAATGAAGATGATGATAACAGTCGAATAATGTAAATAATGCAAGTAATTATAATAGCTCATCTCAGTGATATAGAGGCTGAAACGTTGTGAATATGGCAATGAAGATGATGATAACAGTCCGAATAATGTAAATAATGCAAGTAATTATAATAGCTCATCTCAGTGATATAGAGGCTGAAACGTTGTGAATATGGCAATGAAGATGATGATAACAGTCCGAATAATGTAAATAATGCAAGTAATTATAATAGCTCATCTCAGTGATATAGAGGCTGAAACGTTGTGAATATGGCAATGAAGATGATGATAACAGTCCGAATAATGTAAATAATGCAAGTAATTATAATAGCTCATCTCAGTGATATCTGAAAGTGATATAGAATGAAGATGATGGCGAATAATGAAACAAGTAATTATAATGAATATGTGAAATGAAGATGATGATAACAGTCCGAATAATGTAAATAATGCAAGTAATTATAATAGCTCATCTCAGTGATATAGAGGCTGAAACGTTGTGAATATGGCAATGAAGATGATGATAACAGTCCGAATAATGTAAATAATGCAAGTAATTATAATAGCTCATCTCAGTGATATAGAGGCTGAAACGTTGTGAATATGGCAATGAAGATGATGATAACAGTCCGAATAATGTAAATAATGCAAGTAATTATAATAGCTCATCTCAGTGATATAGAGGCTGAAACGTTGTGAATATGGCAATGAAGATGATGATAACAGTCCGAATAATGTAAATAATGCAAGTAATTATAATAGCTCATCTCAGTGATATAGAGGCTGAAACGTTGTGAATATGGCAATGAAGATGATGATAACAGTCGAATAATGTAAATAATGCAAGTAATTATAATGCCTCATCTCAGTGATATAGAGGCTGAAACGTTGTGAATATGGCAATGAAGATGATGATAACAGTCCGAATAATGTAAATAATGCAAGTAATTATAATACCTCATCTCAGTGATATAGAGGCTGAAAACGTTGTGAATATGGCAATGAAGAAGATGATGTAAATAATGCAAGTAATTATAATACCTCATCTCAGTGATATAGAGGCTGAAACGTTGTGAATATGAAGATGATGATAAATAGTCCGAATAATGTAAATAATATAATTAGCTCATGCCTCCAGTGATATAGAGGCTGAAACGTTGTGAATATGGCAATGAAGATGATGATAACAGTCCGAATAATGTAAATAATGCAAGTAATTATAATAGCTCATCTCAGTGATATAGAGGCTGAAACGTTGTGAATATGGCAATGAAGATGATGATAACAGTCCGAATAATGTAAATAATGCAAGTAATTATAATGCCTCATCTCAGTGATATAGAGGCTGAAACGTTGTGAATATGGCAATGAAGATGATGATAACAGTCCGAATAATGTAAATAATGCAAGTAATTATAATAGCTCATCTCAGTGATATAGAGGCTGAAACGTTGTGAATATGGCAATGAAGATGATGATAACAGTCCGAATAATGTAAATAATGCAAGTAATTATAATGCCTCATCTCAGTGATATAGAGGCTGAAACGTTGTGAATATGGCAATGAAGATGATGATAAAGTCCGAATAATGTAAATAATGCAAGTAATTATAATGCCTCATCTCAGTGATATAGAGGCTGAAACGTTTGAATATGGCAATGAAGATGATGATAACAGTCCGAATAATGTAAATAATGCAAGTAATTATAATACCTCATCTCAGTGATATAGAGGCTGAAACGTTGTGAATATGGCAATGAAGATGATGATAACAGTCCGAATAATGTAAATAATGCAAATAATTATAATAGCTCATCTCAGTCATATAGAGGCTGAAACGTTGTGAATATGGCAATGAAGATGATGATAACAGTCCGAATAATGTAAATAATGCAAGTAATTATTATACCTCATCTCAGTGATATAGAGGCTGAAACGTTGTGAATATGGCAATGAAGATGAAGATAACAGTCCGAATAATGTAAAAATGCAAGTAATTATAATAGCTCATCTCAGTGATATAGAGGCTGAAAAGTTGTGAATATGGTAATGAAGATGATGATAACAGTCCGAATAATGTAAATAATGCAAGTAATTATAATACCTCATCTCAGTGATATAGTGGCTGAAACGTTGTGAATATGGCAATGAAGATGATGATAACAGTCCGAATAATGTAAATAATGCAAGTAATTATAATACCTCATCTCAGTGATATAGAGGCTGAAACGTTGTGAATATGGCAATGAAGATGATGATAACAGTCCGAATAATGTAAATAATGCAAGTAATTATAATAGCTCATCTCAGTGATATAGTGCCTGAAACGTTGTGAATATGGCAATGAAGATGATGATAACAGTCCGAATAATGTAAATAATGCAAGTAATTATAATACCTCATCTCAGTGATATAGAGGCTGAAACGTTGTGAATATGGCAATGAAGATGATGATAACAGTCCGAATAATGTAAATAATGCAAGTAATTATAATACCTCATCTCAGTGATATAGAGGCTGAAACGTTGTGAATATGGCAATGAAGATGATGATAACAGTCCGAATAATGTAAATAATGCAAGTAATTATAATACCTCATCTCAGTGATATAGAGGCTGAAACGTTGTGAATATGGCAATGAAGATGATGATAACAGTCCGAATAATGTAAATAATGCAAGTAATTATAATAGCTCATCTCAGTGATATAGTGCCTGAAACGTTGTGAATATGGCAATGAAGATGATGATAACAGTCCGAATAATGTAAATAATGCAAGTAATTATAATACCTCATCTCAGTGATATAGAGGCTGAAACGTTGTGAATATGGTAATGAAGATGATGATAACAGTCCGAATAATGTAAATAATGCAAGTAATTATAATACCTCATCTCAGTGATATAGAGGCTGAAACGTTGTGAATATGGCAATGAAGATGATGATAACAGTCCGAATAATGTAAATAATGCAAGTAATTATAATGCCTCATCTCAGTGATATAGAGGCTGAAACGTTGTGAATATGGCAATGAAGATGATGATAACAGTCCGAATAATGTAAATAATGCAAGTAATTATAATACCTCATCTCAGTGATATAGTGGCTGAAACGTTGTGAATATGGCAATGAAGATGATGATAACAGTCCGAATAATGTAAATAATGCAAGTAATTATAATGCCTCATCTCAGTGATATAGTGCCTG